TGAGGTATTAAAAAGTTTTATTAGAAGCATTTTTTTGTTTACTATGTAAAAATTCAATATACCACGTAGATCATATGGAAATTGATCTACATACACCCTACCCTTAAATAAAGGTTCTTCTCCAAAATACCCTGAATTGGTGACTTTTTTAGTTGAGTGGATTAAAGAAAGACGAAAAAATCAACAAGCAGTTTCACAACATATGATCCAAATAAAAGCTAAAACACTCTCACAAGAACATCAATAGCAACTTACATGTTCTGGTATTTAGTTATTTGGTTTTAGTAATAAATGGTTAGACGGTCTAATGTGTCATAACAATTTAAGTAATCGTCGCTGCACTACAGTTTCACAATGCTTACCAGATGATTTAGTTGAGCAACAGCATTCATTTTTAGCATTTGTTATATATAGGCGTATCCAGCATGATTATCCTCTTGCATTGATGGGCAATATGGATAAAACTCTCATGTCATTTGATTTACTATACAATACTACTATAGATGTATCTGGTGCACGATCAATTAATATTCGTACTACAGGCCATGAAAAAAGTAATTTTACAGTAGTTTTAGCCTGTATGTCAGATAGAACAAAACTTCCTCCTATTGTAATCTTTAAACTCAAAAATATTCCACGAGGAAATTTTCCACAAGAAGTTATTGTTCGGGCTAATCCTTCTGGATGGATGAATGAGAATGAGATGACTTACTGGATTGACAATATTTGGGCAAAACGCACAATACTTCCAAATCAACAATCATTGTTAGTTTTAGATTCATTTTCTGCGCATATCTCTGATTCTATAAAAAAACACTTTTATGAAAAAAAAACTAACATCGCTGTCATTCCTGAAGGATTGACATCTCGCTTACAGCCTTTGGATGTTTCGATAAACAAGTCATTTAAAACAAAGGTAAAAGAAAATAATAAATAAATAATAAAATAAAAAAACGTTTATTAACTTTTTTTTTTTTTTTTGCATTTTAATTATTACTATATAGATGTGATGACACTATAATGAATGGATAGTTGATGCAGTAAAAGACCTAACACCCACTGGTAAAATTAGAAGACCTTCTTATAAAATTGTAGTAAGTTGGATCAAGGCTTCATGGGAAGCGATTGATATTGGTTTAATCTAATGGTCTTTTAAATGCTGCGGTATATCCAATAATCATGATGGATCTGAAGATAACTTGATCTTTGATTATGATCATTTAAACCAGCAAATAAGTTATGCTGACGATGAGGTAGAAGTATCAAATGACGAAAGTCAAGAAATAGTTAATGATCAGGGTATGGTTAATGAAGATCAAGACATGATTAATGAGGGTTAGGTTATGGTTAATAAATGCCGGGAAACAATCGTTGATGAAATGAATGTTGAAAAGGAAATTATTAAAGAAGATGGTGACAATTATTATAACGAACAAGAAATGAATTATTGTAACGAACAAGAAATGAATTATTGTAACGTATGGGATGATTAATGAAAAAAACTACAGATAACAGACACAGAACATGTCCCCCTACAGGGGTTCAAAATGTTGTCACATATAAATCAAATGAGTTGACTCACCCAAATTTATATGTAAA